CTGAAGCATCAATCCGAAGAACATGGAGAATGTCGAGGTTCTGCAAGTAATGATGGTTCGGATTATCGTTTTATAATCAAAACGTATCCCCGTTGTCAAACGATTCGTGAATGGAATCCACAATCGTTACTTGTTGATTATGATGATGGAACCGTAAAATCGATTCCATTCGATACGATTCTGGATTTGATTTTTTCGTTGAAAGGAAAAACAATAGAAATTTTCCTGGATAAACATGCGATTCAATATCGTTTAGAATTTTCCAGTAAAGATGATGTTAAAAATTTATTGAATTTAATTCAAAATGAACTACCATGGTTCACATGGGATGAAATATTGTCTAATCCAATCGATGATTATTATGTTCTGAAGAATTCAATTTTATGGGAAAAGAAATTCAATGACATATCACCGATCCAATCTTCGTCGCCTTCTTCTTCGTCGTCATCTAGTTCAGAAATATCAACGGAAAAAGAAAATCCCGAAGATGATGATGAAAATGAACTTTTAATTTTTGATTTTGATTAAAAAAAAGAAAAATTTCCCGTAAAAATTCTGAACAAAAATTCTGAACAAAAAAATGTTTCCGGAAACAAGTAAGTGAGCAGTTGTAGTTTGCGCGCATTCGATTGTGTTTTGTTTTTCCGTTTTCCTTTTTTTTCGTTGGTTAAGCTTTCGATTTTGACTCATTCTATTCGCAACAAGCAAACCAACAACGTTGTTATAAAAAATTGAATGAGGCTTTGATAAAACGTAAATTTTTCCTCGATTTTTTCCCAAGTAAATTGCATAAATGTCTATTTACATGAACAACAGCTTATAAAACAACAACCGATTGATCGTAGAACAAATGAATGTTTTACATACTACCAAAGGTCATTGGATTACAACGTGGGCAAATTATTATCTCGGTGACAAGATTCCGAGTTGGACTATTTTTTTTTTACTAACTTTTTCATTTAATTATTTGCATTTCAAAGATTGTAAATTGTTTTGCATTTTCTATAAATTGTTTTACACAAACCTTTCTTTAAAATTTTTTTATAATTCAAATAATTTTATTAATTTTTTAAAATCTTAATAATAATAAAATATTTTTTGTAAAAAAAATTTATTAAATTGTTTCAATAAATAAGTGGTTTTATATAAAATTGACTAGGTTTTCCCTTGAATCAAACCGTTTTTCGCTCACAAACACTCTCAAAGTCTATAGAATCTTTGATAATTTCTTTTTTCAAAAATTACAAAAAACTACAAACAAAAAATGAACAAAGTACAAGTTTATTACACGGATCGAGAAATCTGTCCACCAGTGAAATATCACTGGAAAAATTGTCATTTAAATGTGGAGAAATTCACGAAAACGATCCCAAATGATGATGGTGACAACGATGTTGATGATACAGATTACTGTTTCGTTGTAAAAATTTTAAGAATTGAATCCAAACATCAACAACGACAAAATGTAGAACTGGATTATCACAAAGAATCCGAGATTAACATTCCATTTAGTTCGATTCTTGATATAATAACAATGAAGGAAAATTCATTTACAATTTTCCTGAATAAAAATCCAACTGAATATTGTATTATGGTTGATAATGATAAAATGATAATCGAAATGTTTCATTGGATCAAATCAACAGTTAAACATTTTATTTGGGATCCAAATTACAATGTTCCCGCACAACGGCAATTAACCTTGCAAAATGAAATGTCATGGAAATATGATGATTTAATATTTGAATATCCCGGAATACGGATATTTCAAGGTTATCAAATGACAAACAACTATGATGATGATTGGCCAGAATTTTTCCCATTACAATTCAACCGACCATCATCGACGATTATAAACATTGAATTGAAAGAATTACCCGATGATAAATCGAAAAAATCATCGAAGAAAAAATGTACCATTTTTTAAAATCGATATTTTTAATTAAGAAATTTGTAAAAAAAAGAAAAATTTGTAAAAAAAAACTTTGTAAAAATCGAAAAATAACTCATCATCATCATCAATAACTTGCATCATATGAATTAGAATTTTTGTTTTGAGTGAGTGAGCAGTTTTGAGCTTGCGCATTTCATTTTCGTTTTTTCTTCTTTGTTTTTTGTTTTTATCGTTTTTCCTTTTTCCGTCTTGTCTTTACATTGAATTTCTAAAGTTCATTTTAGAATTCGGTTTCACATTTAGTGGACTAAAATGTTTCCAAAGATACTTTGCTTATTTTGTGCTCGACAAAACACCAGATTGTTCGCATAAAGAACAATTATCTATCATGATTCGATTTATTTTGCATTTTTATTGCGAAAACACCTCAAGAAACTTCCAAGTTTGTTCAATGCAATCACTAGTTGCTTCCAAAGCCTTAATCTCAAAATTGAGAATTTGAGAGCTCAATCGTACGACAACACGAATGGAAAAAAATAAAAAAAAATTCTTGAAGTTAATCAAGAACATTCTTTGGACCGTGCTCGGCACATTCTCTCAATCTGGTGGTCAACGACGACGAGAAGAGCTTTTCGAAGACTCCTTGGTTGGACATAGAAAGTCAAACAAAGGTCGAATTTCATTATTAAAATTTATTTGTGAAATTCAGGTCTGGTACATCATTTTAGATTTGATCAATGTATCAAGCAAAGTGATGCAGAGCCCAAGATCAACTATCGGCATAAATTGCAAAAAATTTTGTGGCAATTGATTGCCAAAATATCTTTCGAAAACCGTCAATTTTCCATGAAGCCATTATCGGCTACAAGGTTGCATAATTGAATCAATCCGGCCATTCAAAAACTATTTGAATGAAATTTGGAAAGCTCTAGAAGAGCTTTCAGAAGATGCTTTGTTCGACTTAGAAAGTTCAAAGGCATCCTATTTAAATGATCGCATAGCATCATTTAAATTTATTTTTGGGATTCAGGTATGGCACATCATTTTAGACTTGATCAATGTATCAAGCGAATTTAATTGATAAACAAAATGAAGAAGAAGAAGTCAATCGAATTGAAAAAATCAAATTCATTTTTTAAAAAATTAAAAATTAATTACAATTTTTTTTTCTAATAAAAAATATTTTATAATTGTAAAATTAATTTGTTTTATATTTGAAAATCTGTGTATAAAATTGGCAATGTTTTTCATTTCAATTAAAAGTAATTTTTCTCTTACTATACCTTGTTTTTTTCAAACTTATTGAATCTCTCTTTTTCTCTTACAAACAAAATTATAAATTTTTCTTTTTATAAAAAAATGGATATAGTCGACATTTACTATACCAATTTAGATGTAGAACCACCAATACGTGATGAATATTGGAAAAATTGTAGTTTCAGTATCAATAAACGTACTGATCTACCAAAAAATCAACAAATATACGATGGTTCTGACTATCGTTTTATGATAAATTTCCTGGGAGAAATTCCTCAAAATCAACTTCCAGGTAAAATTATACCATTGAATACTATTCGTGATATAGTATCCATTCGTGAACGAACACTTATGATCATTATCGATAAACAACCGATAAAATTTCGAATTGAATTCGAATCCGATGAATCGATAATGAAATGGTTAAAACTTTTAGTTAATCTTATTCCTTGTTTTGATTGGGATAAAAAACAAAATGAACCATCGAATCGTCCATACGTTATACATAATGAAATTGTATGGAATACATATAATCATCAACCGATTGAATCATCAAGACAATCCGATCAAAATGATGAACAAGATGATCAAAATGATCAGGATTTTTCAGATGATTCGGATAGCGATTCTGATAC